ATATCTTCTGGAATATTGAGGTGGTGGTCAAGAATTGTCCTAGTTTGTACTTCCTTGAAACATATTTCACCATCAGTTTTTAAATATAGCTTTGCTTGATATAGCAGTCTTAGTTGACTGTTATTTACTCTCAGGGCTTGAAAAAATGTTGTTCCATGTTTTCCTGGCTTTTAGGGTTGTTGATTAAAGTTCTTAAGTTATTCTAACTTGTTTGCCTTTATATATGAACAATCATTTCACCCATGCAGCTTGTAATACTCTGCTGTGTATCATTGACATCTTGACTACGTGTAATGTGGAAATTATTCTTTGATAATATCTAATGCTTCTTAAATTTGGGTGTTTACTTCTTTCTTTAAATTTGGAAATTTTCTGAAATAATTTTAGTTTTTGTAACCTAAAATGCAGTCTATCTTAGAGTCTTTTTTAACTTTTGAAAAGAATATATATTTAATTTTCACTTGATGGAATATTATATGAATTTCTGCTAGGTCCATTTGATCTGTGGTATGGTTTAAAACTGGAGTTTCTTTATTGATTTTCCATTGGGATGGCCTATCTAGATATGAGAGTGCCTGTGGGTATTTGAATGAGAATAGCCCCTACAGGCTCATATATTTAAATACTGGGTCTCCAGTTGGTGGAAGTGTTCTGGAAGGATTGGGAGGTGTGACTTCGTAGAAGTAGGTGTGTCACTGGAGATGGGATTTGAGATTTCAAAAGCCCACACTCTTCCCAGTTAGAGCACTCTGCTTTGTGCTTATGGATTAAGATATAAATTCTCAACTACTGCTCCAGAACTATAGCTGTCTGCCTGTTGCCATGCTCTTTGCCATGATAGTCATGGTCTATAACCCTCTGAAATTGTCAGCCACACATTAAATACTTACCTTGGTGGTGGTATTTTATCACAATATTAGAAGAATAACCACAACAGTGCCTTTAGTCTTTATGTCAGTTCCTTCTGACCCATGGGTTTTCACATTTAGTCTCTAGATTATATTCCAGAGTTTAGAGATATTTGATTTTTTTTTTCTTTCATGGATGTTTTAGTGTAGTATTTCCTCAATCTTGTCTCCCAGCACTGACAGTCTTTCTTTTGTCATGAGTAATCTTTTGGCAATATTTCCCTTTGTGTGTATTATTTGGCCCATTTATTTTCATTTCTAACGTTGGTGCTTTGTGCTTGGGTTTTTGTCCAAAAAAAAAAAAAAAAATCTCAATTTCAGTGATAAATTTTTCTTACATGTTGGTAACTTCTTTTTTGTGTTGCCAATTTTCTCATCCACTTTTATGGCTTTCATTTTTTTTCTGTGTTGTTGGTTTTATGCTAAAGATCATGAATTGAATTTATCTGCTTGTTTGTCCTCTCTGAAGTCTCTGCTCATTTTTACTAGTTTTTAAAGTCTTAGACTAGCATTTTCTCTTATAGTATCTTTTGGAGAGTCATGTATAACAGCTGCGTTAATTGCTAAGCTGACAAAATCCAAAAATCACCTAGGACATAGTCCTCTGATGATGTTTGTGAAGGATTTTCTTCCTTTTATGTGGGAAAGCCCACACATCACAATGGAATGTGAATGGCATCACTTTATGGGATGGACGTCATGCTGAGTGACGAGCACAGAGGCAGCTGAGCAACATACATATATTCATTTGTGGCTCCCTGCTACTTTACTTCAGACATAGTTTGATGAGCTGCCTCAAGGTCCTGCCACTGTGACCTCTGTTGTAATGATACCCTATAACCTCAAACTGGGAACTAAAATGAACCCTTCCCACATTCTCTAGGTGGCTCTTCTGTCTCGGTGATAAACCCTATGACCAAAAGCAACTTAGGAGATAAAAGCTCACCATTTCAGGGCACAGTCTATCACTGAGGGAAGTCAGTCAGGACAGGAACTAAAACAGAAACCATGGAGGAATGCTGCCTACTGTCTTTCTCTCTCACTGGCTCAGAATCAGCTAGATTCATTGTGAGGTACAGACACACCAGCCTAGGGCTGTATTAGCCTCAGTAATCTGGGTCCTTATAAAGCAATTAACAGTTTAGAAGATGCTCCACAGGCAGATCTATCTGGTAGGAGAAATTGTTTTGTTTTGTTTTTCTTTTTAGTTGTTCTTTTTGGTTTCTCAAGACAGAGTTTCTCTGTGTAGACTCGATTTGTAGACCAGACTTGCCCCAAACTTACAGCAATCCACCTACCTCTGCCACCCTGAGTAGCTGGGACTACAGGCTTGTGACACGGTAGAGGATATTCTTAAGTTGAGATTCCATTTTTCCAGGTGACTCTGGGTTGTGTGAAGTTGGAAATCAAAGCAAAACACTAACCAATACACCTCTCAGGTTTTTTTGTCAGAGTATTTTGTCACAGCAACAGGAAAACAAACTAAGACACCTTGCCTTTTTACATGTCTTGTGTTTCTGTGATTCAGTTTGTGCATCTGTTGGTTTCAACCTACCGTCTCTAGGTCACACAAAGGCAACTCCCTTTCTTCCATCTGACCTGGAAATCCAGAAAATATTTTTCTATAATTCTTCTCCCGCATCAGGAAGGGGGGTCTCTTTTCTAAGTCATCCACTTGAGAAAAGGATGTTTTGCTCACTAGCATTGGCTCTGGGGAGAGTGGTGACCCAGTGGACTGCTGAGACCATAGCATGGAGGACAACCTAGAACGGGGAGACGTAAGTGCAGACAGAAACCCAGCAGCCAAGAACAAGGAGAGCCAGCTGCAGAGGTGAACTTTTTAACACTGTGAGCAAAATGACACTGGATGAATCTTTCAAGTAGGAATAATGAGACAGGAAAGAGCTGATAATCCTTTTGGTTTATTTCTCAATGTGTTCTTAGAATAAATCCTCCCCAGTGTTGATGGCCAATTATAATTTATCAAGTGAAGAGTGAAGAGAAAAATGAATTTTCAAGCCCAAGATATGAAATCCATAAAAACTCTTACAAAAAAAAAAAAAAATTCTGTTACATTAGTGTGTTAGTTACTTTTCATTTTGCTGTGAAAAAAAAAAAAACTAATGAAGGCAATTTAAGGAAGAAAGAAATTATTTTGGTTCACAGTTTGAGGGTACAATTCATGATGGCAGGGATGTTGTGTCCATGGTAACAAGGGCATAAAGCAGGTAATTAAAAAAAAAAAAAAGAGCTATGACTATACATGGGATTGTCAAATTTTTTCAGAGATTACACAGTCACTATAAGGTATCCAGAAACTACATTGATCTTTTTAACATTCTATTTAGAAAACGCACGTGCGCGCACATACACACAAACACACACACACATTGAAACTGTCATCAGTTTTGACTTATCTAGGCCATGTCAGGAAGCTCCAAATTTTTAAAAACAGACATATTTTACTCCATATTTTTGTATCTGTTTAGTTTTAAGAATAGAACATATATTTGGCTATATTTTTGTGCACTAGTTGATTAGTAGTTATTAACAGTAGTTAATAAATTAGCAGTAGTTCTAAGATAATCATACTCAAATATTTAGCAAAACGTTTTGTCTCCCTTGAACATATTTGTTACTTTTTTTTCCCCTGTAGAGGTGTGTGTGCTGTGCAGGCATGTGTATGAATATTTACATGTGGAGAGAATGTACGTGTGCGCACAAGCGTCCAGGCGCGTGCGTATGTGCGCTCATGCATAGGGAAGCCTGAGGAAGCCCACTGGGCGTCTTCCTCAATCTCTCCTCGCGATACTGACGCAGGGTCTATTGGCCAACCTGAGATCACCCTCTCCAGCTCTTCTAGTTAGCCAGCCTGCCCCAGGTATCCACTGTCTCTCTGCCTCTACAGTGCGGGGATTAGAAGCAGCTGCCAGACCTGCCTAGCTTCTACATCGGTTCAGGGGCTCTGAACTCTGGTCCTCGTGTTTGCATGGGAAATGCTTTATCCACTGTGCTATCTCCCTAGCCTCATGTTGGTTGATTTAAATAATAGCTCTTCACTTCCTAAGCATTGCTGAGTTAACATTAACATTTGACAAATCAGCTACAAGATCAATATCTGCTCGGCTGAGTGTTTGCGGTGGGCGTGTGCACTTTAACAACAGGAACAATTCATATTGTAAAGAAACTCAGTCTTAGGATGAGCTCTAAGTATGGAATCGGGATCCGATGCTATGATGGCATTTGTTCTCAGGATAAGGCAGAAGGCCACTTCCTCCCCAAACTTCCAATACCTATGTGAAGCCTGAGTAGGCATTGGTTCAAGTCTGCCCAGCTGTCAGTCCCTGGGCTTCTGAGATACAGATAGGAAAAGCAGAGCTGCCTTACGACATATGAGAGACAGTAATGAAACCGAGAAATAAAAACACAGAATAAAATCTAATTACACGGACTTTCACTTAAGACAAAAATTGATTGAGTTCTGCCCAAAGTGGCTTGTTGTTTCCTGCGCCAGGAACTACTGTGCAGGCCCAGCAGGAAGTGTGCTACAGAACGGGATCACCTTACACCCTCGTTTTATGGTTCATTTCACTTATTTAATGCAATTCGAGAAGCTGCAAAAGGAGCAAGTTCGAAGAGGGAATAGGCTTTTTGTCCTGCTTTGTTTTAAGTTTCTTTGAATCAAAACATTTGTTTTTATAAGGTGCTTAAAACCCCAGAGGACCTAGAGTCTTAGAGTGGCCAGGTGAAGACATTTCTCTCTGTCACACAGCTGAGAGAAAGACACAAAGTTGAGTTAAGTCTGCTTCCCTTTCTGTTCTACCCAACATCATTTTAGACATGAAGAATTACAACCATGCCCATGAATGGTCTCAGCGATCTTGAATTCCAGGAGAGCTCCTCGAAGAGCGTTTAATTCGAGAAGGAGTCCCTGACGTGGGCGGGTTATAGATTTAAGATGGAAAATCACCATTCATTTCTCAAGTGGAGGAACGAGTTCATTTTACTGTCTTGCTTGGAAATGTGTGAAGCGAACAGCTGGATATCCGTGGCGTACCCCGCTCCTCACATGCTGTCTGTCTTCCCCTCCAGGGACCTCAGTATGAACAACCTCAGTCAGCTACCCCCCAGTCTCCTACACAACCTCCGCTTCCTAGAAGAGTTGTAAGTATCGCTGCTGTCTGGACGTATCCAGCCTTTGCTGAACACATTCCTGCGTTTGTCTCTCATACTTGCTGTGGGAACCAGATAAAACAAGGCAGGGAAGCTGTCAGCACCAACAGCTTTGGCACATGAGGGAACACTTAGCGGGTGGGGCAGGGGGAGAATTGCTATGATTCTGGAAATCAACTTATAAAAGAGTTTACCATGAGGCTACAACTTTCTAAGGTGAGACCGAGCCAAACAAATTAAAATTTTAAAGCAAAGCCTGTTTAAAAGAGCTGGATGGCTCTCTGGAAACAGTTAAACAGCAGGGTATTAAAAGTATGAGTGCTGGGTTCATGTTTATTAAAATAGCAAGTAAAGCTATAATGAAAACCAAAACCTGCCACTTGCTTCAGCTTGTGACTAGGAGAATTGAGTCCACCCTGCATAGCACCAAAACTCCTTGTCCTAATCACTTTTAATTACTATTTCCCTACTTTTAAATTTAGCATCCCTCAAGGCTTCAGTAGAGAAAACACAAAATCCAGAGGACTTAAGAATGGGTTCTTCTAAACTCACTATTTTAGAGGAGATAAAATTAGTTAATGATACACAGAGGAACCTTGATTAAATCTAGTGATCACTTTCCAAAAGATGAAAAAGAACTGCATAAACCGAAAATCTGCATTTACAAATGCATTTGATCCTCTTACCCTGCTGAGTGGTGGAAGCACCGTGGCACCATGCTCCCTGTGAAGGATGCTTGGCACCATCAGTTGGGTAAATCCTCTGTCTGTTGATTAAAGGAATTGTTTCGGCAGCGACCTCTTTTGAAAATGCGTCCTTCCTAAACCCGAAAGCCAGGGTCCAATTTGAGGAGTAATTTAAGTCGTTGGTGGTGCGTCACATGAGGCACCGTGGGAGGTGGAATTCTGTCAGAACCAAATGGCACGACATTGATCATTTCTTCAAGAGGATAATGTTACCAAGTTTTCCAGGCTAGAGCTTTATCTAGTTCTTTTTGGTGGCGTTATAGTTTAAGGAACACTGTTGTTCCTACTCCTAGAAAGAGCTGAATATAACCAACTGGTTATCAAGTTGTGTGATGGGGAATCAGGATAATAAATTATATAGCAAGTTTGTTTTAACATTTAGAGAATATATTCAGTCTATCTCTAGACTTCTTTCTTTTCCTTTCTATACTTTATCAAGTTCACTTCCATGGCTACACCTTAGCCTTCCAAAAAAGCTGAGAGCATGTCTGTCTTAGTCATGGCTTGTACATAATAAATAATAAAATTCTGAAAAGTAACAAAGTGAAACATTTAAGAGGAGCTTCATATGCATAATATATGTACATACATACCACACATATATATGTAATGGTGACTTTAAGTAAACTTCAAACATCAGAACTCTTTGCTTAACTATAACTCTTTTGTTCTCCCTCCCCTGCCCAATAAAAATGAAAAATTTAGTTCTCTGTACCATCCCATTTCTAAGATAAAAATTATGTACCCTTCCCTATTTTCTTTTAAATATCACAAGGCACAATGCTTCCTTTCTTCCCCAACACATACCTCAACTTCAGACCACAAACTGACTCAATAAATAATTCACTTCCCCAAGGACTTTTAATAGAAAATCCCCCTCCTTCCCCCCACTCTCCCTGGTGACTTAGCCCATTCAAAATAACTCCTCTTTCTTCTTGGGGTAAATGTTAATTCTGTTTCAAGGGCAGTTTGTCAAAAGATAATTGGGGGAGGAGCAGACTAAGGGGAGAGGGAGAGAAAACTGGCGTTCTAAAACGCTGCTCTCATGGATAAAGTCCCCTATCTATCGCTCCAGAAGCTCCATCAAATACCTTGGTCATAGAACCACAGAACTCTAGAATTAAAGGTATCTCTTTAACAACGATACCATTCTCTTTGTGTGTTCACCTGCAGAACTGACTGAACTGCAGAATTTAAGATTAAGACTTGAGACCCAAACTGTCCCAAACTTTCCCCTCGCCATCCCCACACAAGCAAGTGAGTACACACACACACTCACACACACACTCACATACACAGGGATGGGTAGGCGGTGAGTATCTGAAAAGAGTTGGGGGAGGATAAAACCAGATCAACATATATTGTGTCAAACAAATTTCATTAAAATTTCTAAATTAAAAAAAAAATAAATAAAAGAAGCAACAGAGATAACTCAAAGGTTAAGAATATCAGAAGGAAGGAAAAGAAGTCCTCCCCTATCAGTGGACTTGGGGAGGGGCATGCATGCAGAGGGTGGAGGAAGGGAGGGATTGGGACAGGAGGAGGGAGGGAACCACAGGGGGGATACAAAGTGATTAAAGTGTAATTAATAAAGAATTAAATATATATATATTAAATAAATAAAAAGAAAAAAAGAATACATTCTGCTGTTGCAGAGGACCCAAAGTTTGACTCCCAGCACCCACGTCAGTGTCCACTTATAACTGCAGCTCTACGGGACACATCGCCTTCCTCTGACCTTTACAGGCACTTGCGCTCACATGCATATACCCCCACACAGACACATAATTAAAACACAATAACCTGCTTACAATGATAAAAAAGAAAGAATGAAACAACAAATGATGGTAGGGATGTATACAAAAGGAAACCCAGACACACTGCTGTATACTGGTCCGGTCTCTGTGAAAATCAATATGGAGATTTTTCAAAGTACTAAACTAGATACGCATCACAGCCCAGCTATATACCACTTCAGGGTATTTATCCACAGACTCTAAGTTAACATAACATGGCAATAGTTGCACATCGGTGGGTTTTGCAGCATTTTTCACAATTACCATGTACAGAACCAATACAGGTGCCCAACAACTAAGAAAGATGGACAAGGAGAATGTGGCAAGTATAGACGGTGGAATACTTTCCAGCCACCAAGAGAAATGAAAATATGTTGTTTGCAAGAAAATGGACATAACTGGAGATAATTCTATTAAGCCAAATAAAGCCACTAGCAGAGAGAGACAAATACGTTCTCTCATTTTGGGGTCCTGGATTTTATATTGCCACATAAAACTTTGCATGTATATATAGTATGTATACGAAAAAAAAATGACAGCAGAGGTGAAATTGTCCACAGGAGCAAATGGGACAAACAGGAGTGAAGAGGGATGAGCAAAGACCGGGCTGAAGGAGTCAAGTATATGCTCAACATAACTGTATGCCTCTATGAAAGGGAAATAACACATTAGGTTAAAATGTAAAATAATATTCTTGAAGCAAAAATAACAGCTCACTTCCTGTCGCTCACTGTGCTTGTTGTAAATTATGCTACTCCATCATCTCAACTCGGAAAGGTAGAAAGTATCAATACTGGTTAGCAGACAGGAAAACTGAGGCCGAGAGAAAATAGAGACCTGGGGTAAAAGAAGCTGGCCGGCTTCAGAGCTGAGAGCTTAGCTCAGGTCACAGCTGTGACTTGAAGTGACTTTTAGTGCTATGCTTGAGAGGAAGAGGGAAAGTAAGGAGCTATGCGTGGCTCACCTGTGCTTTCCTCATCACCTGGAGTCCCAGGTGCAGGACGCTTCACAACCGAACGCCTTTAACTCGGTGAAGGAACCGGAGGCGCTTTATGAAGGGTATGCATCCATGTGGTCTGTCTTGTGGGAGAATGAAAATGAATGAACAAGAATGCAAAAGCTATACATCCAGGGAAGGGGTCATATATTCAGGTATCAGTCCCATAGGCTTTGCCCCTGAAAAGGGCATCATCACAGTCTGGTAGTATGAAGCCTAGCATTGTTCAACAGGCCCAAAACTTTTGTTAATAACATTACATATTTAAAAAAAAATACATGCTTGACACCATGCTTTCTGAATTATTTTCCTTGAGCAAATAAGTTGCCATCCATGCAGGCTGACACGGGTGTTTAGAAAGCTGTACCGTACATTTAAGATATCATTGGCCAGGGTAGTACTGTTCCGCTGGGACAAAAAAAAAAAATCCTATCACGAAAGTCTTTAAAACTCACTGTTAAGGAATCCAAGTCGCCATCCTGCTCCTTTGCTCTAACTTCCCAACACATCATTTCCCCAGTTTGCCTCCTTTAAGCGTCACAGACAGTTAACGACGTACACAGTGGTGGTTCACCCCTCATCCATCGCTGAGCTTAACAAAGGAGCCAGAGTTGAAAATATAGTGACGATACTTAACTTAGAGGTAGTTGTGGAGTTGATTTACGTTCAAGCTTTGTCACACTCACACCCTCATTTGTTAATTTAGTCTAGGGACCTGGCGTGCACAGGCCACTTATTCTGCTCCAGGTGATACACTAGCACTAAAATGAGGGAGAGAAGGGGAGAGTCTTTTTTTCCCAGTGAGTGGGGTCTGTTTCCTGGAGAGAGGTAGACAGCACCTACATTCAGAAGGTCAGGGCACACTGACCTGGCTGTGCCGGTTACTGGCGTTGAACCTCTCTGGGCCTTGGGTTGTGGTAGTGAAAGCCACTTCATCTATCTTTAAGGGTGTTTCTGAGAACCAGACAACATTATTTGAAAGGATCTGGGCAACCATCAGCTTATATTTTGAGTTGTCATGTTTGAAATGCAAACACCTTTTAAGGTCTTCCTTTCTTGTTTTGTAACCTGGGATCTGTGGAGAAAAAGCTGTTTCTTGCTTCAGTAGATATAGGCAGTGATGACAGATAGCTCCTTACCAAATTTTAACAGCCTGAACAATCACTGCATTTGGCACCAAGATTTCTTCCTCCAGCTTTGCTCACTCCATCCTGTTAAGGACTTCGTGTTCTTCCTTTGTGGGCAAACAAAAGATTCTGCACTTGGCCTTCAAGTGTGGCTCAGACCTCAGGAGCTAATGGCAGATGGTGTCTGTTGCTGGCATCTACAAGTTAGAGTAAACTTAGATTGGAATTCTGATTAGGCCAGGCAGTTGTTTCCATTTTAAATATTCTTAAGTCTTTATTTCCAGCTTGCATCTTAAAAAAATCTTCCCAGATTTTAGTGCTGTTG